CAATCAATTAGTGGCTTGGGAAAGCATCGGATAACACTAATCTTTGTATGATCAGATGCTTTCATGGGCAGAGGAGAGATCTGGGGTCAATAAAAAGCAGAAAGAACAAAATACACAACCCTGTGAAACAAGACCTGTTTAACCCATAAATCCATCTGCATCACATTTTATTAATGAATTCTCAATGTGGTGGGCAGTGTTTATTTCTACAGAACATTAGGAAGGTAAATGAATCAAAGGCAGGTGCCTCTTAAACACAGAGTTACATATCATATTTGGAAACCAGCAACAGTCCCATCATATCATTTTTTTACACTCAAAATGTTTATTGTTGGTAATAGGGATGCACCGATACCAAAAAGAGTACAGATACTTTTTCTCAAGTACTCGCCGATAACAATTACCGATACCTATTTTTTTGTGTCATATTAAAGTCTTTTTTTAGACTAATGAAAAATTATTACTGTTTCTTTATAAATATGAAGAACTGTGACTCAAAATACATTGCCCTGGTAATTTAGTGGTAACCCAGCAGTGTATACATTTCTATATTTACAAATTAAATATTACATTGTATTATTTTTAAGTTTTTAACTTATTTATTTCAGTACACTGATGGATTATGCCTCTGCCCTGGTGGTATAGTGGTAGGCCAGCAAACATAAAATCAATCATTGCCCTTGATTGCAATTATTTTTTTACACAACACCCAGCTTACCTGCCTTTGCTCTGGTGGCGTAGTAGTAGAGCACTTGCCAGAGCTTCTGCAGTCTGGATGTCACGTCTCACACTGCCCCCTGATTAACGTGTGACGTCAGACATCCGGAAGCCGCCCTTGCGCAACATCCTTTGGGGTCTATCTCCATAAAGGCGGCAGTTACAGTCTGCAGGCTTGAAGGTATCGGTTTTAGCATCAGTGCATTTGCTAGAGTACTCATGCAAATGCTTAGTATTGGCACCAATAACGGTAACGGTGCAACGCTAGTTGATACTATTTATCTACTTAATATTAGTTTTCCTTTATATATTGACTTGTCTATTGCAAGGTAATACATACTGAATTACCCACTTGCCATCCACCATATTTACCTGCTATAGGGCAGGCGTTCTGTGTAAAATCAAGCATATAAATGTGATTTTGCACTTCTGCTGTAATTTGACACAGCAAAAGCCGATCAACAGGAGCCGGCCAATTGATGAGCGCTGGAACCCGTTGATCGTTGAGGATAGTGACAGTACTCAGCTCTGCCTATGTAAACAAGGCAGAGCTGTGTCCTGTCACCAGTGATGTGCTGGATTGTCGTTCCCTGCAAAGCAGGGAATACAATCCAGCACACCTATTTGTAAAAACAGCACATAGTAAAACTGGTCTGGCACATATTTAAGCCTTTGATTGCCCTAGATGTTAACCCCTTCACAGCCAGTGTCTTTTAATATGGTGACAGTGTATATTTTTAGCACTGATCACTGTATTAGTGTCACTGGTTCCCACAAAGTGTCAGACTGTCCGCTGCAGTATTCCAGTCCTGCTGATCACTGTCATTACTGGTATAAAAAAAAATTCCAGTATATATACACTATAGTTTGTAGAAGCTAAAACTTTTGTACAAACCAATCAATAGAAGCTTGTTGGGATTTGTTTTTTAACCAAAATATATAGCAATACATTTTTTGGACTAAATTTATGAAATTAGATTTTTTTTTTAATTTTTATTGGATATGTTTTATTGCAGAAAGTAAAAAAAGTATTTTTTTTTCCAAAATTCTCTGTCTTTTTTGTTGTTGTTTATAGTGCAAAAAAAAAAGAAAAACCTAGAGGTGATCAAATACCACTCAAAGCTCTATTTGTGGGGAAAAAAATTATATAAATTTCATTCAGAGCATTGCATGACCGCGCAATTGTCAGTTAAAGGAACATAGTGCTATATAGCAAAAAATGGCCTAGTTGATAGTTGCATTCAAAAGTACAATGAATGACTTTCCCTATAAATGCATAACTGCAATAAATTGTGTATTTATATCTGCCAGGCACTCAATATTAAAAATATCAGCTTTGGGGACCTCATTGAATGTCCTTATAGCAACAACAATGATAACTGAAACTGAACCTTTTTCTAATTACAGTTTTTGCTCTGCTTGACCATTGCCCTAAAGGTGAAATTGTTAGACTTTGCTATATATTGAATCACATTACGTATTGGTGAATAGAGGAGGAGAAATATTTCAAATCAATATATACTTACTCAAAGTCAGTAACTTTTTTTAATTCACACACAGATGTGAAGGCTACAACTTTCTTCTTGAGACCAATTACACAAGCTGTATCCGAGGAATTTGCAAATACTCGACCTTGAAAAGATAAAATATTTAAATTGGGAGGGAGATTTGTGTTGTGGCTGACTGTTATACAAACTTATTATAAAAGGCTGCTGCAGAGAATCTGGGCATTCCTTGGCACGTTTTCCTTGGATGGTCTGCAAGGGTTCTGACAGATAGAATATAAAAAAGTTGTATAATAATGTTTACTACTTCCTGCAAACTTGGTTCTCCTAAGTAGTCTGGATGGCCAATTATTGATGACATATTCGCTCATGTTGGGCTGGAAAAATGACACTCAAGTTTGCTATAGTTTTGCCATGCAAAATCTGTACCAGGCTTTGTAAAAGCATTTTTGTATTGTGACTGTTGACCTAACCTGTTACTTAAATAAAGATTATAGAAGAAACAAACTCATTAGGAAGCAACCCATCATAAAAATCAAAGTTTATGTTTAGTAAAGTATGGCATTTAAACTAAAACACTACCAAGTGTTCTGAGCGAATTGTAATAATGATTTAAACTATTCTCATTATTTCCCCTACCACTCCTGACAAAGTGGTGTATACCACAGTATGCATAGAGTGCACCACTCTACTGGTTATGACACATTGGATTACATTTCCTGTGGGGTACCAGCTACTCTTTTTACAGGTCTTTGAAACACTTAGGGACAGCTGCTGTATGCTTTATTGTTTAATTGCCTGATTTGCTGCAGTTTGCCTACTATACACAAAATCATACTTTCCTGAATGTGACTGTGAACTTATATATTGTAGGGATAGCTGCTGTATACTTACTGTCTTATTTGCTTAATATTTCTGCATTTCCCCTCTTATATACATGCTTTTATGTATGCAACTGTAAATTTATTGTATTGTGTATTGCACTGGCCTGGGTCAGAATAGCACTCTGAGTTCCTTAGTGGCAAGACCATTTGGGTTAATATACAACTAGTGGATGGGGATGTACAGGGAAGGAAATAAGTATTTGATCCCCTGCTGATTTTTAATGTTTGCCCACTCACAAAGAAACAAATCAGTTCAAAAATCGAATGGTAGGTGTATTGTAACACTGAGAGACAGAATAGCAACAAAAAATTCAAAATAAATTTCTAATAAATTATGCACTGATTTGCATGTTTATGAGGAAAATAAGTATTTGATCCCCTTCACAAAACATGACCTAGTACCTGGTAAAAAATCTTCCTAACCCCCCCCCATGAGGCAATCTGATATTCCCAGGATCAACTAAGCCTGGAATTATTACCTCTAAAAATTTGTATCCAAATATATTTTGTGTATTTAGGAATGCATCCAGCTCATTTTTTTAAATCAATCTACTGAGCTGGCCAATCCTTGATAGAAAGTCCACATTTTCTGATTTTCTTTAGATAGCATGGTGGTGTCACTAAATGCATATGACAATGGCAATGCAGATGTGGCAATGCAGAAGTCTGGCAATGGACATTAGCCTTATACATATGCGATTAAAATGCAAAAGTGATTCTAGAGGTTAAGGTTAAAAAAAACAAAGAAGAAAAAACCTTCCAATGTTGAACTCGCCCCCCCCCCCCCCCCCACTAAACACATACCTGCCATCACACTCAGCCCTGCTCTGTTCTTTTTCTGAATTCTTGGGCTTTACTGAGAACAGCTGGAACCACTGGCTGCTGCTGTCAGTCAAAACTTGTGAGAAGGGATGGGGTTGTGGCAAAGACAAGCTGTGTGCGTCTTTGGATGCACATAGCCTGGCATGGGAGCACACCACGCGAGTGCCTTATACAAGGGGCTTGTTATGGGGGCACTCGGAAGGGGAGGAGGGGACAGCGAGACTCGGAAGTGAAAGTGTGGGGCCACTCTGTGCAATACCATTGCACAAAGCAGGCAAGTATACAATGTTTATTATTTTTAATAAGAAAAACACCAAAAACAAAAAGAAAAAAAAACTTTTTCTTACTTTCATCCTTTTAGAAACCTCATAGTGGGGTACCAAATACTGATGGGTTTTGTACAATATGATATACTGTAACAACTGTATTTTGATCATGTAACAATTTGATTGTATTGTTTATCAGCTATGATATCAGAAAGACTGAAAAACAAGGTGGATCCTGAGGAAACTCTTCTTGGGTGAAATGCTTCAATCCATCTGTTCTTCGTTTCCATGTTCATCTAACCATATGTACTTCTATACTGTACTTGTAGCTGGCATTGAATGTTTTTAGATCATGTAATCCCTTTTAACTTAAACATAAAATAAAAATAGGCATTTATAGCCTAGAACGTTGTTCTTCGTGTATTTAGGCACTCTAAAATCCCTATTTCCCACAGTATCCTCTTTGGAGGGACATGGTGGGACTTTTTTTTTGATGATCTGACAAACTGGGGATAGTGCCAATGTGCATCAGGTGACAAGACCTCCCCATCCTATTATTTTTTTTATTTATTATTTTAATTAAAAATCTATCTTTACAATCACTTTAAAGTAAATAAGAAAGATCACATAGCATTAATTTATTCCAGGTATCCTAAACGAATATGGGACAAAATATTTGAGGTTATATGCATAGCAACTTTCTGGTGAAAAAAAAAAAAAATAAATAAAAATCATAGTGACCGCTTTGATCTTGGAATTCCCCTTACCTCTACGATAAGACTCCCTCAGTTTTTCAGAAATCCATATTACAGACTTGACTCCAAGTTTTGTTCCATAATTGCGATCAAATGGGGTAGGAGAGCCACCCTAATTAATAAAAGGTAAACACCACCATTAACTTTAAATTCTCTCATTATAAAAAATATTTTTTACTTAAAGTGTCATTACAAACCATAAATTAAAGTATGCAAAAAAAAAAATTACAGTTTTAATATTTTTCCACTCTAGTTCTCGAACTAAACACTTTGTCTGCATTCACACTTGAGCAATTTGTAGCTTGAAGCTCAAACTTAAAAAATCAATTGTTCTCTATGGTGCCTGTTCACACCTGATCCTGTGAACAGGCACTATAGAGAACAATTGATTTTTTTCAGTTTGAGGGATTTGGAGTGTCAAGCTTTTACCCCTTGGTGCCTGCGCCTCCCGGCCCCTTAAAGGTTTCAGAAGCCGGGAGGCGGAGCGGGGTTTTAGGGTCCATCACGGCGGTCACATGATCGGGAAAGGTCCTGATTGAAAGAGGAGATTGGGACCTTTCCGTGAGTACCGGACATGTATGCTGGGAGCGCGTGCTCTCAGCACATATGTTTTTCTTAATTGCACACAAATGTGCGTCCACTCGGTGCCTAGGCCCAGACACCGGGAGGCAGCACATTTGTGTGCCGCTGGTGTGAAGAGGTTAAGCTACAAAACATTCAAGTGTGAATGCAGCCTTAAAAGAATAACAGGGAGTTTAAAAATTGTATTATTGGCTTACCGAAAAAAATCTCTTCTTGAAGTACACTGAGGGATACAAGATGAAGAATCCAGATACATTCAATTATGTGGCTGCCTTCAGGAAATTGGACATTGGAAAACAAATCTGTAGGGACAATCCAGTGTAACCCCTCCCACTCCCAGCATGCCTCTTTTGCAATAAATTGAAGGCACACGGGTTCCTCCCTTCTGTGCTTATTATCCACTCCTGGTACCCCAAGAAAAAGATCTTAGGGTGTCAGGACTTGAGTCATCACCTGGGTCACCTGCTGGTGTCACTGTGGTTCCCCGAATCAAAGCACGCACTTCCGGTGGTCATGAGTGGGTGTCTCCCAGCAGCTTGACTGTCCGACTAATTAGGCTCCACCTGACGTGGGCTGCTGAGAGGTATATAATCTTGTGCAGTGTTAGCTTCATCTTGTATCCCTATGGGTTGTGATGATTTTTCTCCTCCTGTCAGTATGTCTCATGTGTAGTTTCTGGTGTGGCTATTGGAAGATGATAAACCCTATTGTCTTGAACATTATTCGGTATATTCACATATAATTTGCTGGATTGTATCGATGCAGTACATTCTCTAGTCAAACAAGGGAATTGTGAATGGAATTTTGTTCAGCCCCTACTGCAAAACTGGCCAGGTATTTCCCACTCAGCTTCAGTTAACACGCACCAACCCATTTCTGCCTCTAGGCATCAGTTTGCTCAGAGATCCCCCTCTTTGGTAGCAACCAGAGCTGCAGCTCAATATACTTTACTTCCAATTGTATGTCAGTATCCTGACTGCACGTTTCCTGCATTTAATCCTGTAAAAACCCCCTCTACTACTGCATTGCCCTTGGCAACTTCACAGAAATCCTCCTCTGTAACTGCTCCTCCTTTTAGCCCTGCTTCATAACTCCTGACTTATCTTCGGTCCTGCCTTCTGCCTTTTCATATCTGGGATTCTCAGTAACCAGGCTTCACCCTACAGAAATTACCGTGAGGAAAATAATTATTTGATCCCCTGCAGATATTGTAAGTTTGCTCACTTACAAAGAAATAAAGTCTATCAATTTCATCATAGGTGTATTTTAAACGATAGAGATATAATATCAACCAAAAAAAACTGAAAAAACCCAAAATACAAATACTATAAAATTGAGTTGCAGTTCAGCGAATGAAAAAAGTACTTGATCCCCTACTAACCAACAATAATTCTGGCTCCCACAGACTGGCTATGTGCTCATGTGGTACACGGATTAGTCCTGTCAATTTAAGAAGGTGCTCCTAATGACAACCTGTAACGTGTATAAAAGACACCTGTCCAGAGGATTTCTTTCTTCCATTCAAACCTCACCACCATGGGCAAGACCAAAGAGATTTCAAAGGACATCAGGGACAAGACTGTAGACCTGCACAAGGATGGAATGGGCTACAAGACCATCAGCAAGAAGCTTGGTGAAAAGGAGACAACTGTTGGAGCGATTATTTGCAAATGGAAGAAATACAAAATAACCATCAATCACCCTCGGTCTGGAGCAACATGCAAGATTTCGCCTCATGGGATAAGGGTAATTATGAGAAAAGTGAGGGACCAGCCCAGAACTACATGGGAGGAGCTTGTGAATCTCAAGGCAGCTGGGACCACAGTCACCAAACAAAATCTGAAATCCTGCTCAAGAAGGCACGTGTACAGGCTCATCTGAAGTTTGCCAATGAACATCTAAATGATTCAGAGAAGGATTGGGAGAAAGTGCTGTGATCAGATAAGACCAAAATTGAGATCTTTGGCATTAACTCGACTCGCTGTGTTTGGAGGAAGAAAATGCTGACTATGACCCCAAGAACACCATCCCTACAGTCAAGCACGGAGGTGGAAACATTATGCTTTGGGACTGTTTCTCTGCACATGGTACAGGCCAACTTTGCTGCATTGAGGGGCCAATGGACAGGGCCATGTATGGCAAAATCTTGGATGAAAACCTTCTTCCCTCAGCCAGAACACCGAAGATGGCTTGTGGATGGGTCCTTCCAGCATGACAATGACCCAAAACTTACCACCAAGGCAACAACGGAGTGGCTCAAGAAGAAGCCAGAGTGGCCTTGCCAGTCTCCAGACCTTAATCCTATAGAAAATTTATGGAGGGAGCTGAAACTTTGAGTTGCCAAAAAACCTTCTGTGTCCAGCAGTGCCCCGAGCCCCCTCAATACTTACCTAAGCCTCATCATGATCCAGCGATCTGAATGACAGCCTCGGCTGTCTCTGCCTCCTCATTGACTGAGACAGCAAGTGGGAGCCATTTGCTTCCGTTGTTGTCAATCACAGCCAGTCAGCCAATGAGGAGAGAGGGGGCAGAGCCATGCCGCAGCTCCATGTGTGAATGGACACACAGAGCAGAGGGTGCCCACATAGCAAGCTGCTTGCTGTGGGGGCACCCAACAGGAGGGAGGGGCCAGGAGAGCCTGCGGGGAGCTAAGAAGAGAAGGATCCAGGCTGCTCTGTGCAAAACCACTGCACACAGCAGGTAAGTATAGACATGTTTGTTTCTCCCCCCCCAAAATAAATAAAAAAAATGAATCACTTTAAGGAGTTAGTGAAGATCTGTAAAGAAGAGTAGACCAAAATACCTCCTGAGATGTGTGCAAGCCTGGTAACCAACTACAAGAGACGTCTTACCTCTGTGCTTGCCAACAAGGTTTTCTCCACCAAGTACATAATTTGTTTGGGGATCAATTACTTATTTTACTCACTGAACTGCACCTCAATTTATAAAATTTGTATCTGTTTTTTCTGGATTTTTGGTTGATATTCTGTCTCTATCATTGAAAATACACCTATGATAAAAATGACACACCCTTCATTTCTTTGTAAGTTGGCAAAGTTACAAAATCTGCAGGGGCTCAAATAATTATTTCCCCACTGTACATCTGCTTAAGCCGGTCTAAGTACCATCTATTCTATGGACAGACTGCCTTGTTCAATCATCCTTTTCTCCAAGCAACCCTGCATCCAGCCTGTGTTCCAGCAACCCAGCGTAACCTCAACAATTTGTCACCTGCTATCCAGCCTACTGGTTCTCAGTCTACCATCCAGTTTGGCTCCGTATGCTCTTTGCTGTCTAATCACGGACCTCAATGCTTCCCTGACCACTGCCCAGCCTATTGGCATGCTGCCTATTAATGGGATCCAGTCTCCCTCAATAAGACTTGCAATGGAATTCAACCAGCCTCTAAGCTTGCTGGCGGGGTTCAGTCTGCCGCTGATGCCCTGCTGTCTGCTGACAAATCTGCCTCTGGTGATCTGCTATCTTCTGCCAAGCTGGCCTCTGATGTTCTTTTGCCCACTACCCAGCATGGTGATCGTCCACCCACTGCCCAGCCTGCCTCTGATGCGCCTGTGCTTGCTGCCCAGTCTGCCTCCAATGGTTTTGTGCCATAGAGTATAGAGATTAACAAATCCAATAGCCTCCTATCCCTCAAGACCTGGACTTTATCATTTTGCTTCTCAGTCACTGACTTTCATGGCTTAACTGATGAACTGACTCAAAAGACAAAAGATCCTGATGATCTGTGAGGACCTACAAAGTCTTTCAGAAGCCTTATAAGCTCCGAGTACCACAATCACCTGGGCCAGTTTGGTGTGATAAGAATCAATGGAATGCCCTCTATCTCGATTTGTGGAGCAGGTAAGGAAAGAGTTTCAAAGGAAGAAAGTCATAGACTGCGGGCAAGGCATTTGATGCCAAGTGGCCATACCTGTCCTTCATGGTTTTGGTTTGGGGAATTTATTAAATGGATCCATATTCTTTATTTCATTTCCAAGTGGTGCATGCATGCATATTATTAATACTATGTCAGATTACTTTTAATTGTACCGAGGCATGTGGCAGGCATATCCACTGTTCCAGAAAGTTTTTAAGTTAACTGCAAAACCCCTGGCAACAGCTATTAGACAGATGGACACTACAGTGGACATTTGAAGGGGAGACAGAGAGTATAAGATTGCTTGACATGCAAATGATGCCCCTCTTTATGGGGGACACCAACCACTCCTTGACTTTACTTAATGACCCTTATTACCCTATTCAGATACTTTTCAAGGTTTGTCATTAACTAAGACAAATAGTTTTTTCTACCTTTGGATACTATTACAGAAGAACTCCTGACCTGTGCCTCACAGGTCAAGACAGAGTTATTCAAATATCTAGGAATTACGGGTTCCTTCTCCCTGCAGACAGATCTAAAATGAAACTTTTCCCCAAATACCTCTGACAGGAATTGGCAGAGCAAACTTATTTAAAATTATCTGGCCTCAACTACTGCAGGTCTTGCAAACTTCCCCAATGTGGATTTCC